TAGGATCGCGCCATTGCACTCCAGCCTAGGCGACAGAACAAGACTCTCTCTCTCTCTCTCAAACAAACAAAAAAGGTTGATGTTATTTGAAGTGCATGTGGCTACAAAAAACTTTCTGGGTGATTCTGATGCACAATCAACTTTGAGAGCCACTGCTTTATGCAAATGTAAGCAATAGACTCTTTATTAATGTTTCCTCCCATTTCACCTTTTGGCCGCACTGTACTCCATGGTGTTCTGCACTTTGCTTTATTCGCTTAATATATTCTGGAGACCTTTCCGTAATTGTACATACAAAGCATCCCCATTATTTTGCAGTATATTCCATTGCTTATCCAGCTTGTCCCCTGACGGACAAACTACATTGTTTCTGATCTTTCACTATTAAAAGCAGTACCGCAATGAAAATCTTTGATCACATCTCCTTTTCCACCTGTGTGGGTATGTCATAGGGTTTTAACACAGCTGTATTTGCCACCAAGGAGATGACATAATCACGTGGGCTGACTTTTTGACCCTCTTTTTAACTACCTCTTTTAAATTGCTTTTTTGTACAAATCACAGCCTGAGTGACAGCAGATACGTTTTCTTCCCCTCTAGCATCACCTTCCCCAGGTTGCCTCCCTGGGGCTCACGTGTGTTCTCACAGTACAGGCTGAATTAGAAGAAGCCTCTTCCTTGGGGTAGAGGCAGCTTCCTCCCAGGCAGGGACTTGAATTTCAGCCCTTCTCATCCTCGTGCTCTACGCTATGGTTTCTTAACCTCTGTGCTACTGACATTCTGGGCCACATAAGTCTTTGTTGTGGGGGGCTGCCGTATGTATTATAGGATGTTTAGTGGCATCCCTGGCCCCTCCCCACTAGATCCCAGTGGCACCTACACACAAAGATGTCTCCAGACATTGTCAAAGGCCCTGGGGTGTGGGTGATGGGTGAACCAGCCCTGGTTGACAGCCACTGCTCTAGACAGCTGCTGCCGCCGTTCTGCCCCTGTTCCCCACTGCGTCTTTGTCTGACTCTGGGATGGTCAGGTCATCAGTTGTTCACACAATCACTGGCTCTGTGTCCCTCCCCAGCCAGCCCAGGGCTCATCTAGGCTGGACACTCAGGGCAACCTCTCCCAGTTCCAACCTGAAGGTGCAGTAAGACACCTCTGCAGGGATGGATGGAGTCTGGCCTGGGTTCTCTAAGGCGTCTCAACAGGGCCAGCCATGCTCTGGGCTTCCTTGTCCTGGCTCACCAGAACGGAGCATCGGCCAAAGGCTTACGCAGTGACCTGGCCATTCCTTGGTCACTTCCGACTAGTCTAAACTCTTCTTCTCCCGGCTCTCTGATGCCATCCAGCCCCACTAACCAAACTTCTCATCCTCCCCAAACTTCTCCCTTTGTGCTGAATCTCCTGAGATGGTTTATGCCAAATGCCCAGCATAGGGCCTGGCACACAGCAGAGGCCAGTCAGTTCTGGCTCTCTCTATGCTTCGAGTGGCCCCTTCATGCTCGAGGCAGAGGTCTGCCCACCTCTCCAGTCCTTCTTGTCCATCCCAAAGAACCACAAGCCTTCCACTCCTCCCTCCTCTGACCACGTCGGACAACTCCTGCTCACCTGACCTCACTTTTCTGAGCTGGTTGGCTGAACATACAGCACTTAATTCAGCTGGTTTCACGCAGTTTCTGTCTGCCTCTTTGTCTAGTCTTCCAAATGCGTCAGTATGCTCCTGCTCTTGTGGGTCTCCTCCCAGTAGCGCTCTCCCAGGCACAGCCCCTGGTGGCTATGCTATTTCTTGCAGCAAAGGGTAGGCTGCATAGGTTAGCTTTATAGGCAGAACGCCTATTCTGCTGCAGGCTGGGTCACTGTCTACCTGAATGATTTGGGGTAAGATACTTGGTTTCTTTGTGCTGCAGTTACCACATCTGTGAAATGAGGACACTGTGACCACCCCTCAGGGTGCTGAGAAGCAAAGGATGAAGAATCTACAAGGCATGGCACTGACTACTGTTCCCGATCCACTGCTGTTTGAGCCAGAGGAGCCCTAGAAAGGAGGGGAAAGCCACAGAAGAGAGAAGGGTGCTGGTTTGTGCCCCTCCTCTGGGGCTTTAAGATCAGTCCAATGAGGTGAAATGGGAAATGCTCTTCAAAGCATCAGGTATCATCAAAGTTATCCTTCCTCAGCCACCCTATTATGCTCAATTTAATCCATTTGGTTCTTGATTTAGAAACAAAAAGTATTTTTTAGAGTTCCTTTCTGTTTGGGGTGATGTTAATTGGGATGTGTGAAGCAAATAAAGAGCAGCTGAACACATTACACAGGGAAGAAGGAGGGTGTCTGTGTGGGCTTGCAATCAGTGAGGGCACTCTGGAGCGGGTGAGGCTCTAGCTGGATCTTGAGGACACCAGGATCAGAGAGATGAAGAGGAGGAAGGATAGTCCAGGGGACTGAGGAGATAGATAAGCAATGGAGTGCCAGAGTGCCAAAGCAATGGCAGACTTGTTAATGACCGAGAGAAAGAGATGTCAGTACACGCAGGCATCCCTAAATGGGCTCGCTTCATTCATTAGCTTTAAAAAAGAGCAGTAGAGATCTACAACCAATATCTGGAGGCCCAAGGAGCTCCCAAGGCCACAAAGAAAAGCCAGGCCAGTGGGAAATCACCCTGGCCTGTGTGTAGAGTGAGATAGACAGGCACAAAGAACAATTCTCTGTTGGGGAGGAGAGGAGAGAGCCAAGGATCCCTAGCATGGGCTCCTGAGTGAGGGGAGCTCAGGGACACCGTAGGCCCTCCCTGTGAGGATAGGAAGGAAATGTGACTTTTCATTTTTCAGCTGATCAGTCAACTCCACAGGAATAAACCAGAGCTCAGAAAAATATGTCCATGACCTGGGCACGGTGGCTCACCCCTATAATCCCAGCATTTTGGGAGGTGGGCGGATCTGGTGAGGTCAGGAGTTCAAGACCAGCCTGGCTAATATGGTGAAATCCCATCTTTACTAAAAATACAACAATTAGGTGGGCATGGTGGCACACGCTGTAGTCCAGCTACTTGGAAGTCTGAGGTAGGAGAATCGCTTGAACCTGGGAGGCGGAGGTTAGGGTGAGCTGAGATCGTGCCATTGCACTCCAGCCTGGGTGTTGCAGTAAGACTTTGTCTCAAAAAAAAAAAAAAAGAAAGAAAAAAGAAAAGAAAAGAAAAATATTTCCATGAAATGATGCCTTGATTGCCTGCTTTGTGAGGTGGGCAGTACTATGCTTATGTCACTGCAAATCAAGCAGCTTGCCAGGGTCCCCCGTTGTTGGGGTAGCAGAGCTTCCCAAAGACAATGAGGTTGGAGCAGAGAGCCCTGAAACAGATCCCAAGGCTCTGTCCCCACCCCCCAGAAGATATTTTTCTCAAGACCTTGGGGTAGGGAGTGACTTGCAGTCTCCTTCCACCCTCTCTGCCAGGTCTGCCACACATCAAGAGATTCACTCCTAGCAGGGGACAGGTGGCTTGGTGCTTCTCCCTCATCTTGTAAGAAAATATTTATCATCTGGCTTCCCTGGCTCTGAGACCACGCCCCTGCTTTTCTTCTCAAGGGATCATTGTTATCTTGTAGACTTGTAAAATCTTCCTTTTTCCTGTATTCAAATATGTCTCCGGAGTTATGCTATGAAGAATGACCCTGCTTCAGTCTCTGTGCTGTCACCATGCCATCTGTGAGGTTAATGACTGAAAGGATGAGAGTGGCCCAACAAAGCTGCCTTCGTGCATCGGGGAGTGGGAGAGCTTGTCAAGAGGCCACAGAGGCTGAGGGGCACCGAGGTCTACTGAGGACACTCCTTTTTGATGAGTTCATGAATATTCAAACATGCAAATGAGACACCATGTCTACAGGCCCCAGAATCTTCAACCCGCTTTTAAGGGTGGCCTGTGGATTTATTTCTGTGTAGAAAATGGTTCTGCAGTGCGGGTCAGCTACTTTCTGTCTCACCCTCTTCATTTAATCACATATTTGTTTCTCAGATTATGACATACAGCACAAGAGATGGCTTCTTTCTCTCCCTCTTTTTTTCTTCTCTCTCTTTCTTAGCTATTTTGTTCCAGAAAATCTTGAACCTATGTAAGCTTAAAGAGAATAGTATATTGAGCCACCATGGATTCATTCCCTAGCTTCAACAATTATTAACCCATAGCCAATCTCGTTTCATCTATATCACCACCTACTCCCCAATTTTCAAAATTATTTTGAGGCAAATACCAGATATCATATCATCTGGGGACATTTCAGAAAGTATCTCTCAAAGATAAGAACTCATTTTTTTTTTTTGAGACAGAGTTTCACTCTTGTTACCCAGACTGGAGTGCAATGGCGCGATCTCAGCTCACTGCAACCTCTGCCTCCTGGGTTCAGGCAATTCTCCTGCCTCAGCCTCCTGAGTAGCT